AATGAGAATACTTGCCTTAATTTTCTTATTGAAGTCCTCTACTGAGCCGAGCAAGGGAATCAATTTGACCGCAACTGTTCCTTTGTGGGTCCCGTTAAAGGCGTATTCATTACATAAATAAACTATGATCGTGTACGTATTCAAGAATATAAAAATTATTCAAAAGTTGGTGACAAGTTTCTTACCTTGTCCAAATCCTCCAGAACCTTTGTAGGATCAAATTATAATAGAAAGACAATCATTTTGAAAATATCATGTAAAAACAAAACCTACCAATAACATTTCTTGGCTCATATCTTCCGTTCCATCTTGAGACACGTTGCATACTTAATACTGAATTTTCTAACAATTCTGTGTCTCCATAAATTGCATTGTCTTCCGATTGTTCAGAATACTCGCTAAACTCGTCATTGGCACACAAAGTTAAACGCTGCGTGAGGCTGGATGTGCTTTGATCCGCTTCCTCGCTACTGCTGCTGGAAGGGACATGATGATCTGACTCCTGGACAACTTTTTCTTGCTTTTTCATCATGCTGATGGATGAAATTTTGATTTGAATAGGTTTATCAGTAAAACCTGAAATATCATCCAGGCTATTATATCGGAGATAAGACTCTCTGTGATTAGGATTTTCATATTCAAACAAAGCTCCCGATAAATCAAATTGCACACTTGATAGGGTTCCGACTTCATTTAATTTGTCTCGGATCAGTTCCATCAAATGTTGATCAGAGTTGATCGTGATTTTTCTTCCGAGTAATAACTTTTGATGCTCGTTATTGAGTGGGTTCAAGAAATTCAACACAATTCCACGAAACACGAAATTGGAGGGCAAAGCATGGTTGTTGCTCATTTTTTAGTTGTTAAACAATGACGAATGACAGGTTGGTTCACTTGAAAAAAAAACAACTTCCTGATCGATTAATGTTCAAGACTTGAATGTGTCCTTTGCTCATCGACCAACCCAGAGCTAAATTAAATTTAAAATTCGTTACGAAATTAAGAGTGACACACAGTGGTTTAACTCTAGCCAAAATTTGCACAGTCAAAGGTTGGAATATCGTTCAGCTTTAATTTTGAATAAAACCTTATCAGAAATTATTGGTAATTCTATTTACAAAATTATTACAAAATCTTTTTGTTTAGCATCTTTCTTTTTCTTTCTTTTGGCAGCCTTTTGGGCTTGCTTTTTGCTTTCTTTTTTTTCCTTACTTAATTTGATCATGTCCATAAGACTTAATTGTGACGAGGTTCGACTGCTCGAAGTGCTGCTGCTTGTTTCATCTGAATAGCTGTCTCCTTTCAACATATCATCATAAATGTAGTCATAGTCTTTGGCATTAGGATGTCTCAGGTTTTGAATAAGCATTTCATTTTGTGTTTGAATAAGCTTGATGCATGAGGTGATGGAGTAGCATGGACGCTTGTCTTTTGATGTTTCATTTCTGGAATTTCTCAAAATACACAAAATGTTATCATTGTGGTCAATAATTTGCTTCTCAGAATCATGGCTTGTCTGTTGATTTGAAAGCATGAAATGTACACAAGAATAATAGCCTCTCTTTGCGGCAAGTGACAGTGGCGTCTCTCCCACTTTGTTTCTATAGGTAACATCTCCTTGCAGCTCCTCAACAATTCTATCGCTCTCGTTTCCAATCTGAAATTCGGACTCACTTTCCGCTATTAAGTGATGCAATAGTGTGTCTCCGTTTGCATCTGGAGTGTTAATATAAAAATAATAGGATAGCTTTTCTAATTGAAGGAATTTGAAGAAGGCTTTCACACAGTCTGCCTTCTTCATTCTGTGCAAAATATTCACACCTTTATCCTGATCAAGTCTCATGAACTCATTCCTTATAGCATTTACATCGCCAGGATCAATGTCATTGACCTTGATTTTCATGCCTAATAACTCAATAAATATCTTGTTAATCACAACAAGAGTTTTCTTTTTTGAGAGTTTTCCATCGTTGATAATTTTCAGGCAATCACTAATGGCCATTGAAACGAAGGAATTGGCCATATCACTTCCTCCATACTTCTTTGTACATTCTATGAAATGACCTATTGCACTAACAAGCTCGACTCCACATTCTTTGCTTAAAAAGTTCTTAAAGTTGTTAAATACAAACGGTATTTGAATTGGTAAATGGTTAGTTGAGTTACATTGGTAAAATAGTGAAGGAGCCAACGAAAATATTGTTTCCATTAATTTCCTAGTTTTGAATATGTCTTTGATGAGAGCAGGTGAGAAGAATAGCTGGTGCAACACATTGTTGAGTTTTGAGTCACACATCAATATCTGATTGCAATTATCCAAAATGTAGTTAATAAATGTTAGAGGAAAGTTGTAACTAATGGCTATCAACAAGAATGACCTTCTGTAATTATCAGTAATATTAAATGAAGCTCCTCTATGTAAGAGCATGTCCATAACCTCCCGATCTTTGTTTCCGCTAGTTGATTTGTCACTAGTTGCGTATCTATACATTGCAAAGAAAAGTGGAGTACCTTTGTATTTTAACCTAAATTCAAGAGAAGGAATAGATTTGTGTATTTTTGGAGACTCATCTTCGTCTTCTGGTGATGGCACCTTCAAAGTTTCATCATTGGAGAAACTAGCATTACTACAAAGGTCTACATTTACGTGCGGTAAACTGAGCAAATATTGAACGCTTCTATAATAGTCATTCAAAATTGCGCTGTGTAGGAGAGACCACCCCCTTATGTTCACATGTGGAATATTTACAGAGTCGACAGATTTGATTCTCTCAAGAAATTCCAAATCCGTTTCGATGGGATTAAACAATAAATCATACCAGTCTACTACTTGAACATCTGGACATTCGTTTTGCAATTCTATGACAGCCAAATTATATGACAAGTATTCGGTGGCCTCATTCGATAAGACGGAGGGCAGAAAATGAGGGCTAACATCAATGTAGCAGCTATCACTTTCTTTTGAGTATTTTCTGTGAAGGTTAATCAATTTAGTTGTGAATATTGTCATCTCTTTGGATTCCTCAATTGAAAAGCATCCACACATGTAAATTCTCTTAATATTTTTACATTTTAAATATAAATTCTCAATTAATAAGAGTAAATCGTCCAACAAGTTTTTAGAAAGCAATGATTGGAACATTGTTCTTTGATTCGAAAGGTCCAAGCATGAAATACAGGACGTATTTTGAAAAATTGTCTCCAATCTTTTGGAATTGATGACTTTTTGAAGAAGTGGAAAATTCAACCAATCCACAATTAAATTATGTTGAAAACTTGATTTGATATTTGTAGAGAAAGAAAGCTCAATTTCTTGATCCTTTTTGTCGGTTACTTGATCATCATGATAACCTAGACCCCGTTGCAAAACTCTCCTAAATACTTTACAAACATTTGATAGGGGAGAAAAACAATAGAGAAAAATTGGCTCACAAGCAACATAGGAGAATATTTTCGCTAATATTTCCGGAGGTAAATGCAAATGATAATCCCATCCCATCTCCTCATTCCAACAAGAGGTTGTCTGTTCTGTGCATTGAGTGGAATCATGACCATCATCATCACCATGATGAACAGTTGCATGAGCCTGAGGATTCTCTGACAGTTCTGTTGTTGTATTCGCGACAACAAGTTCCCAATTTCTACTCAACTCCTCTCGTTTCATCATGATACAAGATTCCTTCTTGTTGTCGTCTTGAGTTGATGACGTTGTCGTGTCTGAAGGAGTCGTCTCGTCATGAAGCTCTTGTCTCCGACAAGCTGAGGAGGAGGAGGAGTGCTTGTGAAGAGCACACATTTTTAATTGGTATGAATTTTAAAATAGAAATGCTTTAATTTTGAACGCGTCCTGGCATGTACCCACCTCATGTCGTTGTTTTCGAAGATGATGGACCAACGTTTATAAAAAGCCCAGTAATGAAGAATGAACTTCAAGAGGAGGATTTCAATTCCAACAAAAATGTTTTGAAGAGAGTGTCAATTTGAATTTCATGCATGGTATTTGTTTGGCGCCTTTTTGTACGACACCGCTTTAAACAGATTCAAACCGCAAAAAAATGCAAAAAGCAGATCCCTTAACGAATGCTGCAGCCTCATCCGTGCCAAAACTTGGCAATGATAAAGTGGTTGACACCAGTTTCCGAACAACAACTTCGGTTGCAACCACAAAAAAGTATCATTTAAAGGTTTCAAAATTGGAACACCCCCCAAAATCGAAAAAAAAGAAAAAGGATAAACATTTAATAGACGCGGAATCAAAACATGAAACATTATTTGAAGATAAAGTGATACCGGAAGAGGACAGAGTATTATGGAATCATATAAACGAACAATATCATGATAATTTATGGAATCGAATTTCAAGGTATCGGGACGAAATGAGACAGCTCCACATGCCAGACAACTACAAGCTCACTAGAAAAGATAGTGACCCCTCATTACACTCAACATTCAAAGGACATACAGATTCAATAACTTCTCTTGATTTTAGCCCAGAGGGTTCTAGGTTGGCATCTGTTTCTTATGATTCTAGTTTGTTTTTATGGAAAATCCAAGGAAATTTCTTTCCCCTTAAATATGTTCATCACGAACTTGGAGGAGTTTTTTGTGTAAAATTTGCTCCAAAGATTTTTACAGGTGCATTCACTCATTTGATTGCCACAGGAGGTAATGATAGAACTGTTCGATTGATGCATTTAGGAATAGGAGATGATACGGCTGAGGTAGCTTTGCAACGACCTCATCACTCGGTGTTAATCAAAGCACATGAAGGCCCTGTTAACGATATTGCGTTTGACCACACAAGTCAATTTTTACTGAGCTGCTCTTCAGACAACACAGCCAAGGTATGTCTTTCAAATTGGAAAGGAATGGAAAATTAACATTTTGGGAAAGCTTTGGTCTTTGCAATATCAACAATTTGTGGGATGTTTTTTGGGCCATACCCAAGCCCCACTGAGCTGTGACATTTCATACGACGGAAGAGTCGTGGCGACAGGAGGTAAAGATAAGATCATCAAACTGTTTGACAGTAGCAGCGCCAAGTGTATTGTTGACTTGAAGCATCATACAGACTTTGTAAATAAGGTTCGATTTTCACCTGATGGAACGTGTTTAGCAAGTTGTTCAAAAGATCATACTATTCGAATTTTTGATTTGAGATACTCTGGACGACCCTTGCAGAACTACGATGGTCATCATTTTCCTGTCTCTTCCATTGACTTCCACAAGTCAGGAAATTACCTTATAAGCACAGGTGAAGACAATACTGTTAAAATTTGGAATCTGATGCATGCTCAGCTCATGTACACAATATCAGGTCATGTTGGTTCAACGACATGTGCCAGATTTTCAAAAGACGGATCATTCTTTGCAACCGGAGGAACAGATAGCAACGTTCTATTATGGAACAGCAACTTTGCTTCCAGACATGCAGAACTCAGCGAGACTGCAAACAATCCTCATATTGGAAGTCGAGTGGACAATGAATAGAGAATATATCCCAAATCGATAAAAACAAAAATCCAATTCGTCGAATCGAAAGTTCCTGGTTGAATTAACAAAAAATAGACATGCGACATTTTTCCCAAACGGTTTTGATATTTGCTGTTGTTGTCTTGTGCTGTGTAGAAATCATTTGTGCCAATAGTGAAACCCTTCAGAATGATGATCACGTAAGCACCATCGCTTCAGCATCACTCACTGATTACGAAAGGCTTGCAGCCAATGATTTCAAAGATTTACTCCTTGCTGACGCTTCCAAACGATACACTTTGGACACTTTTGAAAGTGGTGTGTGGAGGATTGGAGACATCCAGTACTTTGATGACAAATGTAATGCCATGAGGTTCCCATTTGCACAGCTCACAAGTAATGGAGACAGCATCATCATCAGCAATCCTCTTCATTCAGAAGAGGATTGCTGATGCTTTCACACTCAAATCATTTATCAAAAGACCTATGAGCTCTGTACAATGCCGTGTTGTCAACGAACGGAAAAATTGATGCTGTTGTTTGTGCAAATATTATATTGAAAGATGGCAGTGCCGAAATTGCATTCAACTTTGACTTTCTCACATGTGGATTGAATGATAACAATCTTGAGACATTTACTCCTTCTTGTAAATTAGATTCTCAAAACAAGATACAAGACATGGTGGTCGTGTATGAAAATCCCGGAACTGTTGCTTCAGCTGTCATTGGTGTGATTGTCACTCTCTGCGTTTTGTTCTTCCTTTGTGTTGTCTGCTGCATTGGTTTGAGTGTCTTTTGTTGTTGCTGTAGAAATAAGCAAGGAAGCACACTTCGACAAGAGTCCTATGGCCAACTCTAGAATCGAATTTTGTGACTAGAACATATTTCATTGTTCTCTTTCAATCTCATTCACACTTTTGTGTCAAACAAGATGAAACACTCTTGCATCGTCATCTTTAAAACCAATGCCATTCACTCGTAAAAATAAAAACGTTCATCCTTATATTTCCATAGTGCTTATTTCGTTTCAACCACAACCACAACACAACAACCATTCCATATTCCATTCACCACAAAAGCGTACCATCCAAAGAAAGCGATGACCATTCTTTGCCGAACGCTTTCGTTTTTGCAATTTCATTCAAAAAATAAATCTCTTGAAAAACCGAGTTCGTTCGTGTTGCGTACGAGAGAGAGAGATCTCACAGCCAATCATCAACCGAAGCTGTACACGTCGTCGCTCTTCTGAATCCAACCTCACTCTCTACAAGTTCTTCAAAGCGAACCACGAGTTCTCTTGAGCAGAAGTTGTTGTGGATCAATCCGGATCGAGTTTGAATTTGGTCTACATTTGGAGTTGTCTTGATGCTCAATAATAGTATTGTTGGAAGCCTTTTTTATTATTCAATCGTTATCTGCAAGATCTTGTTGAATTTATAATTTTCATCATCATCACCGGTACCATCATCACAAGCCAATATACTATTCATTCCGACAATAACCTTCATCCCTACAGTAATTAATTACAGTAGAATAATATTATCCTTGTTGAATTTATAATTTTCATCAAAAGCGCTCAGAACTGAAAATTGGTTTAAAGTGACCGACAACAACTAACTGATTGCCCGCACACAAATCTCACAACGGACGATCATAGGCTAAAATTGTTCACCTTCCATCACAACAACACTTGCCATCTCTGCATTGCAGCAACCAACAGGCAGCAACACCATTTGCATCCTCTCATGTTGCCTTCTCTCTCTTCATTGGCCTCAGTAACCAACAATAACACTCAACAAGTACTGTCAACTTCAACAGCCATGAGCTCGCGTCCACCCTCTAACACTAATCGCAAAAAGGATCTTGTCAAAAAGGAACTTGATGTCGACCAATTACTTCAGCCCTCACAAACATCGTCCAAATTTGCTACGATATTCGATTTGAACTCTCCTCTCACCAACTCATTGTCAAGAGGAATTATTGAGACTTCGCCAAGTGCTGCTGGAACACCATTGAGCATGGATCCTCACCGTTTCCATGAAGCCTCTCCACTGCAACATTCTCCATCCACGACTTTGGCGCCTTATATTTCTGATTTTTCTCAAGCTCAACAAGCTCATAATTCAAGCAGTCATCTTAATACCAGTAGCAGTATCAACAGTATTTTAGGTGGAGGTCGTTCTCCATCAGGTATTCCTCTTTCTTCTTCCATTCGATATGTCTCTGCAACAACAGGTGGAACATTAACGGGAGCATCTACCAACAGTACAAATGGAGCTTGCTCAATTCTTTTACAAGGAAACAACAGCGGAAATGTTTCAAAGACATCTTCAATGCAATTTCCTCCGTTAACATCAGCTAGTGACATTCATATGCCATTTAATCTTCCAACTCCAACATTCTTGAGCACTCCTAATACACTCTTTTCAAACTCGTCATCATTTACTGGCTCAGTATCTGGCTCAAATGTCGATAATGGAGTGTCAAATGAGCCTCTTCCTTCAATTGTCACTGCTGAGGACTCAATACCATACCGCAACCAACCACCTCCTCCAGTGCAACCTCCTCTCAATTCAACGTTCGCAACTGATCAACACCATCCTCCTTTTGACCACCAAACATCACATCCTCAACCTCAACAAACTCTACCACCTCTTCAGCAACAAGGTTCTGTGTACACCAAATCACCCTCAATTCCTTCGTCTTCTTCACTGCATGTCATTAAACCTTTGAATTCACCTGCATCCTCATATCATAGTCAAAGCAACGATTCTGGAAACAATGTCAATGAAGCAAAAGAAAAAACCACGTATTGTTACTATACCTGACACTTCTTCAGCAACAGGATCCTTAACAATAGACACTGACGGATTGTTAATGATAGAAGAAGGCTTCGATTTACCTCCACCAAATCCACAACCAGGAGGAAAACAAAATAAGAAACCCCTTCCAAGACATATCATCAGTATTAGAACATCTGGTATTCCTAGATATCAATTTTACTCGATGAAGGTTTCTCTATTAGGTTATAAAACTAAGCAAAAGGAAGTACTTAAAGATATTGTCGAACCTGTACTATTATCAAAGAGCAAGGTAAATTTGAGAGGAGACTCAAAGCGTGTTGACCTTCATTTCGACAATATAATTATTGATGAGGCTTCTCATATGAACGGCAGAAAGTTCTTCCTTAGATTTACACTACTTTCTCCTGACAAGTTACCTGTATCTTATGTGGATTCTTCATATTTTGAAACAATCACTGATCGAGGAAACCAAAAGCGTCAACAAAAGATTGATCATAGCCGAAGCAAGATTTCAAAAGTATTGAAGGTCAGCCCAAGGTATAGCATTGTTCAAGGTGGGCAATTGGTAAAGGTATTAATCAATCAGCAAATTGTAGCTCCTAACAATGTCTATGTGTACTTTGGAGATAAGCGAGCTCGATGTGTCTATGTTTCTCCAAACAAGGATAACACTATTGTTTGTGAAACACCTGATGGAAATGCGGATGAAGAAGTTGAGGTAAAAGTTTCTTTGGATAAGGGAAAAACTTTTATGGCTACTGACGCTACACTGAGATATGTGCCATTTACTTCCTTAAACGTAAATGGAGACACAAATGGTCGAGTATCGCCAGCTTCCATGCCCTTTCTCGTTAACAGAGAGGAAATACGACTAAAATCTACCTATCCTGCCCCAAGCATTCAACACGATGAAGAGCACGACGACAATGACAACAGCCAAGAATACGAGGAAAATTATGAAGATGGCAACAGTCAATCCCAACATCAAATTCCGACTCAAACCTTCGTTTACAATCAAACACAACCCTTACAAAGCAACATTATCTCCACTTTGAATCAGTCTCAAAATCATCATGGATTTTCTAACTTTAACGTACAACACAACAGCCCTCAAATGAATGTCTCGAATCCCCCAATTCAGCACCAAGCTCTCAACCAGCAAAGACAATACATGATGCAACCTAGCAACAACAGCTCCACCAACCACCAACAACCTTATATTCTGCCAACTTCTGCAAACACAATGCAACAAAATCAGATGAGAATTTTCCAGAACTTTAACAATTAGTTGCAAATAAATATTGTAGCTACGTTTAATGTTTAGATTGTCTTTGAGCTTGAAGGTTCTTAACGTTGACGGCAATGTTATGAGTTTTCTGAGCTGATTCTTCTGTCCGTTCCAAAATTTGTTGATAGATATTTGGCAAATGTTTCTTCACTGTCACACGATGATGTTCAGAATCCACTGTTGCTTGAATCTTCAACGAATTGATGGCTGAGGTGATAAATTCTTCGTCGAGTGGGAAATCAGTCTTTGAAGCATCTCCATAAGCGAATACATGTGAAACCTTTGCATAGCTTTCGAAAATCATATTTTTGCCTTGATTCATAAATTCCTTAACATGTGATGCAGTAAAATAATCATTCTTAAGGATGTTTTCACATGTAATCAGAGTCTCATAAGCAGCCTTGAAATCATGGTTGACATTCAATTGATAAATAAATTGAATAACAGGATCACTCAAGAGTTCATCTTGTTGTTGAAAATCGGACCTAATAATCAAATGTTGTTCCATAAACTTAACCAATCCATTCAAATAGGTCTTATTACGTTTCTTCAAAATTATGATGACAGCCAAATAACGAAGAATATATGAAGAATTGCTTTGGAAGAGAGCAGAAATATACCTGTTAGATGTAAGGTCTGTTTGTGGGTGAGAAGTTCCAGCTGGATAAGGGAAAAATAGGTCTAAGAATACCTTGTATCCATTGGCTTGGTCGAAGAAAGCAACAAAGAGGGACCAATGAATGAACCAACATCTAGCATTGATGAGATCCAATTCAACGCTCTTAACACCACTCTTAGTGATTGGAGTAGTTACTGGTGCAGTTGAAGAAGCAGCAGCATTTGCTGATGATCTTTCGTGTTGCAACATTTGTTGGAATCTGTTCTCCATCAATTCTCTCAAATCATTTAACGCAGCACTAGCGCTTTCCCATTCCTTACACATTAATTCACTTGCTAATTTACCCCAAGCCGTCATGTATGCCTTGTCGATATTAACTTCCCCATAGAGTTGTTTGACATCGGACAACAAAGCAGCAGCAGTTTCATAATCTCCTGTTTCATAAATGAATTTAGCATAGTCATAGAGCTTGTCTAACATTTCAGGTTTAATTCTACTATCTCCCGAAAGATAAACTTGCAAGGACTCCTTGATAGATTCCTTGTTTTGATTATACTCTTTCAATTTGGTAAGAAGTGGCTCGCATACTTGTTTATAATTCTCGATTTGATCCAAAATTTCCTTCTCCTCTTTTTGGTAGTCGATTGGAGTGATGTTTGCTTCGCTTCCAAGTTCTTCTTGTTTTTTCTTTTGGAAGTCCAACATCTTGGTCTTTTTACTTAATTCATAAGCAGCAAGTTGTACTTGTTGTTTTGGATAAATCTATATTGAAGAGAGTTGGAAAATTGATGTTTTAAGTTTCAATAATGAATATTGATGATGATAAACAATAAAAAACAAGAATATTGCACATCAAGCCATAATCATCACGAATATATATTAATAATCATAGTATTTAAAATATATCCATTATGATGTTATTAATATATATACAATCATGACAAGATAACAACACATACCTCATTTTGCTCAAGAAACTCAAGCAAAGGAAACATGAGATGCACATCAAGGAACGGAATAATCTTCAAAGCAAGAGATTGGTTCATTTTTTTCGTGTCAAACACTTGTGGTGTGTTGCCCAGCAAATGGTAAAAATCGAAATGTATCGTTGGGTTGAACACAAAATCAAACACACTCGAGAAATTATATTATCTCTCGAGAGAAGCACACAAGTGGTGTGGCACTGTTTTTGAGAAGTCAGCTTTCGGTTATCTACATTAAATTCGGACGGTAATTCCAGCTGTAGTTAAATAGTGTTGTTGTAGTATCATCATTCATGTGTGTTGCGGTAACACATTACACTCTCTATTGCTTTCACGTGCACAGCAGGCGCATTTTAATGTGAAACACGTTCGAAATTTATGGTTCCTCGATACTAAGTTTTTTTGTTTGTTGGGCCTTTCTCATCTCCAAAAGGTCGGTCACAGTGGTGGCCATCTCGGGTGTCTTATCCTCTCGTATTTTAATGAAAACGGGAAAACGAACACCAAAACCAGAGCTGGAGGAATTGGACTGTGTAATGTCTGCTCCAGAAATTTCACACACTAGCTTTGGTACAAACCAGCAGTCAATGGATTTGAACATGGACTTGGAAATCACTACACCATACTTGCTTTCTAGATCTTGTTCATTGGTGATTAATGGGCTTGGAATGTAGTTTTTAAGGCTCTCTTGAGTTAATGTATCAAGCGTGTCGGTCGACAATCCTGATCCAACAAAGCACACAGTTTGAATTTTGCCGGTGGTGTTGTCGATTGCGCCCAACAAGAAAGATCCAAACATTCCTGCTCTCTTACCTTTACCTTTCTTCGCACCTAGAACAATTAGATCTATTGAGTCATAAAGCCCTCCCTTGAGATACTCCTTTTTCAGCTTGTACCATCCTCTCTTGCCAAATTCATATTTTGAAGAGAAGCATTTGATGATGAGTCCTTCACAGTTAGCGGCTACAGAATCATTCATAATGTCATAAATATCGTGTACAATCTTTTTCGAATCTGTAGAATGAATGAAAATATCTTTTGCCTCTGACAATTTAAGAACTGGATTATCAATATTGGACACAATGCCTTCCAATGCCATTCTTCTGAACTCTAATGGAGAGTCTGTGAGAGGTTGGTTATCGAGATAAAGGATATCAAATGCTCGAATAATGGGTTTCATGGATGGCGCTAATGTTGCTCGATTTTGAAATTGTTGGAAACTCGCCACAATATCAGTCTCTTTGTCACAGATGACATATTCACAGTCCAAAATAAAACTCTTTTTCTGTGATAGTATGGAGCGTAATAGCGACTCTCTTTCAGCAGGATAATGTGTTAGTAAATCTGTTGCTTTTCTATTTCTTGAAAAACAAAGAACTTGATTTGTTGATGCATTAAAATGTATCAACAATCTCTCTCCGTCATATTTGCGTTCGCATAATATTTTAGTCTCTCCCTCATTTCTTAGTTTTTGTAAAAAAATTTTGTCTACCTGCTTGATAGGTTTGGCCAGCATAGGTGATATAACAGAACCAATCCCTAATAGAGGAGTGGTTGAATTGGACAAGGAAGAAAGGGATCCTCGGGTGATCAGAAAATCAAAAATCGTGCTTGGATCTCTGGTTTTGACATAGGTATCAATCAATGCAATAATTTGAGGGTGGGACAATTTTGCACTGGTATTAATTTTTGACTTCTCGATAGCTGCTGCTAAAACTGTAAAGAATTCATTTTTCGACATTCCTAATTCTTTAGATAATAAATTGATAACCAACTTTAGCTCCTTTGTCTTCCTAATTTGTTTTAACAGCTCTAATGCAATGTCAATCTTTTGTTTCGTCACTGGTTTCTTCACCTTGCTATTGGCATTTGAGATCTTTTTTAGATAATCATACACTTCACACGTTTTGATGTATCGCTTTTCCATATTGTTTAAGTTAATTTGCTGAGTATATTTTACGATACAAGGCTGCAAGAAGTGAAAACAAGTCTCAAAAATATTACTTCCAGAATTAATGTAATATTCTCTAATTTCTTGTAAGCTAATATTTGATCTACTCTGGTAAATTAGGCCAAACAATGTTTCAGAGCGAAGTGTAAATGTCACTTGTCGTTTATCCAAAGCCTATAAAAATGGTAAACGCAACCAAATACAATTTGAAACAAACCTCATCTTTTGTAAGCATGACATACACCATTTTCAAGGTTTCCGCATCCTTTTTGTCGAGAAGCTCCTTTAAATAGTAAATCAAAGCATCCTTGTTTGCAGATTTTTCACAGGAATCCACTACGGATGCCAAGCAAGCAAAATATTCCGTGTCTGTTTTCACCTCTTCACCACTTTTATAAGTTTGTGAATCTCCAGCAGTATTGAGAAGCGAGGAATTTTGGCAAAAGCTTCGGTTCGTGTATGTCATGATTGGAAAGAATTTAGTTTTCGTTACAGAAGAGTAAACATTATCTTGGTGATGACGATGATTAATCAATGGATCTGTATTGATCATAGTGCCTCTGATACCGGATCCGATCATCATACTGGCTTTCCACAGTGAGGCTCTACCTGCCACGGAACGAAGTGAGAGCATTTTTTTTTAAAATTAAAATATTCTCAAATCCAATCAAAACAATGGACAACCTCATGTTTATTTACAACAAATGGAATCAAGCAAACAATGAAAGAAATTGTTCAATTTCATCGATTTCATCTTGCTCTGATGGATTTGTTTGGGTTGGTTGTGAGGTTTGTTGTTGGGAGGGAATGGTGTTGTTGAAAACAACAACTGGAGGAATAGAGGCCACATCGTGAGTGCTCTGTAAGGCCACATCTTCGTTCGATTTGCTCTCAACAGGACATTGTTCAAGTTGTGATGCACCTTTTTCTTTCTTTGGTAGAGAAGAAATCACTGATGGCTGTGAAGGAAACTCAAACACGCGAAATTCGTCAGGAAGGAAAGAATTATCGTCCATAAAGGCTCTAATGTTATCAAGACCTGTATGTTCATCATTCAGAGAGGTGGACTCCATATAGTGAGCTTGAGGAAATGTCTGTCTTGGAGTAGAGCTTTCACTGTCCACAATCATGAGATGGGAGAATGAATTAAGATCACTATCTGTGGAGTGCATGGATCTGGGAGTAAAGGAACTATCGTTGTTTATGTCTGTTCCAGGAGAGTAGCTTCTCGAAAGGAAGAGTTGTTGAGGCCTATTTTGTGTATGATGTACAATATTAATAGGTTGTGTCGAACAAGAGGGTGGTGTATTTACATTCATGGATTGATGAGACGATTGTTGTTGAGGTTGCTGAAAAAGGAAAGAAAGTTGAGAGGGTATGTGTTGAGGTGAAAATACCTGTGTTGGATAGGACAGGTTGCCTTGATTATGGATACAAGCATTGGTTTGGTTAAGATTGGAATTGTTTAAGAAACCAGACATGGAGTTTTGAAACATCAGGTTGTTGTTGTTGTTTACAGTCGAATTGGTCATGCAGTGATTGACATTCATTGCATGGTTGTTACCGTTGTGAGGGTTGCCATTGTTGTTGACATTGTTTTGAGCGCTCAACGACGCAATCAATGATCCTAAGACCATTGGATCAAAATTGTTTGGATTCGAATTGGATCTGAAAGTGGTCATCAAGCTTTCACTACTCACGGAAGCTCTTCTGTAGTTGTAAGAACCTGACAAAGACCTTCCAACTCTATTGAAACCTCTTGGAGAGGTTATTGCTCTAGGTGTGCGTGGAGAAGTGACAAATGAGGCTTTTGTATCAGCTACAGTTTGTTGTTGTTGTTGTTGTTGAGAGAGAATTAAACGCGAGAAGAAATCATTGCTACTTTGGCCATTGGGTGAATTAATTTGTGTACGATCCACATTAGGGAAAGCGTTTGTTTGGTTGACCTGTTGTTGAGAGGTGCTGTTTGGAATGTTATTGAACTGATTAGGTGTATGGTTAGAACCGGTAGAATAACAAAGTTGGTCATTCCTAGAATGAATTAATGCTGAATGAATATTCATTTCATTCTCATCGATGGCTGAGTTTGGTGTTTGAGGAACATCTTTCTTGAGTCTGATAATCTTGGTTGGAGTGTAGATGGTGGTGTCGTTATGGTTGAAGTTGCAGTTGTTGTTGTCGTTGATCATGTTGTTGTTGTTGTGGTGTTGGTGGTGAAGTTGAACGTTTGTCAAGACTTGGTTGTTCAGAATAGTCATGCATTGATGGTGTTGGTGATAGGTTTTGTTGCGATGTCCGTATTCTTGAGGAAACGAGAAGCTTTGTGCTCTGCTCAAATGATGTCCGGGTGCTGGACGTTTGGTGTTTTCATTGTCACCATTGGGAATGTTGCTGGTTTTGATGGTAGGATTCAAGTCAAGATGGTTTGAACCTCCAACTACTGAGGTAGAGATGGAGGTCTGAAGCATACACACAGTGTTTCTTCTCTTTAAATTACTTTCAGGCATTGGAGATATTGGTCTTTCATTGTAAAATTGTGCATTGAGATCCAATTCGTCATCACTGTTAGGAGTTGGCACCGAGGCTGTGCAAGACGCTGCTCCCTTACGCTTCTTGGTTTTGAAAAAGAAATAATTGGATTGAAATTCGCTATTACTCCTAAACTGCTTATTCACTTTCAACAGCTTGTCACCCTTGAATTGAGTCTTGAGCTTGACCTCATCGGTCAGATCAACAATTGCAAACTTGTTAGCGGAGGCGTTGAGATCTGTCGAGTTAAGAGAAGACCCCTGCATTGATGGTGCTGTGGAGGTGCTGTTGCAGGCATGTGCTGCACTTGTCGTTTGGGATTGTTGTGGTTGCATTTCTTTTGATGCTCTAGGTGTGCGCTGAGAAATTTGTAAAGCTCCAAATGTGCACTGTATGATACCAGTCTTTCATCACAATTCAACCCAAATCGTTATGAACATTTCAGAGCAACAAGCAAAGGGGTCCGTGAATCAGACAAAAAAATTCAAAGGCCTTTTTTGAACGAGGGCTCCCAAGTTTATGACACGCATGAAAGTAATTGAAGCAAAAGGTTTCGAGCATTTTACCAATAATATTATTCGTTTGGAGGAACAAGATGATTCGCAAAATCATATCGCAGAATACTCACGTGTGAGGCGAAACATTCCTCTAATAGCACCGTTCCAAAAAATGGTCTCTGATTCCCAATTTCACAACACTGTTGAGCTATGTTTTGTTTTGTCCTAGGAGATTGATGTATGATTCAATGATCATATTACTTTTTGGTGTTCACATCAGTCATAGACGTGGATTATTATTGTGCGTTAGTTTTTGTCGGAAGACTTTGTGTCTCCTGTCTGTGATGACCAAAATCTTTATCTTCTTCTATTTTCTTTCTTAAGCTCCTCATGTAGGACTGTTGGGTTCTGGTATGTATGTACTCTTCGCCAACTCCTTTTTTGCCGTCATTTCCAACTTTTAAGCCTTCTGAAGTCATTACTCTATATCTATTGTTTTGTACACCTCTCAATCGAGAGTCCTCAATTTCTTTCATTCTGGCTGCTTTAGATTGTGCTCCACTTTTAATGAAAGAAGAAAGACCTTTAAATACGAGATAGAGTGCAGTTGCATAAGCAACATAGGTCAACAACTTGAACCCCAAAGCTATTGCTTTCACTGGCGTCATTCCGTTCATCTTGATATCATAAGCATGTGCAAATACGAAAGGAGAATTTAAGAGTATTTTCTTGATAATTTCAGGTTGGTTCTTAAAATGGTTATTGATTTCATTTTCTCGGTATTTTCTCTCCTTTTCTAATCTTTGTTCTTTTCTGTGCTTATTCATTAATCCAATAAATGTTGTATGCTCTGAGTCAGTAAACCACGTTTTCTCACCTCTTTTATATTTTTCTAGTCTAGTCAAAAAGTCATCATCATTGAAAGGGAACACATCAAATGGGTTATAGTGTGCTCCACTTCCAAATGGATCTTTTCCCCAAAACCCTTTTGGATCTGATGATCCTGTTCCTTGAAATGGGCCGCTGTTTGGATCTTGAACGTTTCCTTTTTTAATTTGGGCGTAGGCTGCATTGATTTCAGCCATCTTATCTTTGGCCTCTTCTGTTTTGTTTAAATCGGGATGATACTTTTTACTGAGTTTAATGTAGGACTTTCTCACCACATCCTCGCTTGCTCCGAATTCACATCCAAGAATTTCATAAGGGTTTTTTGTTGATGCTCTTGCCATGTTGAAGAAGCAGCTGGAATGAAAACATCGTTTTGTGCCTCCGAAATTATGAAATAAATTATCGGAATTAACTCGTCTTACTGAATTGTTATTTATCGATACATGTTTTAACGAAATCGTAATTGTTGATGAATGACTCAAAAGAGCCCGACAGTTATCGGTGAGTTTTGGAACAATGAGGCGACAGCTTCTCAGGGTTAACATTTTTTTTGATGAAGTAACGTATTACATTTTCCCCAACATCCTATGAATAGCGATGTTATTCACATAACATATATTCACAACATTCTCGGTGAACGCCTCTTGATACCACTCAAACGCTCATCTTTTAGCTAAGGACAAGAAGATCTAGACATTTTCTTTTTCGTTGTAAAATGAATTACTAGGTTGACCATATTTTTGAAAAAAATCGTTTGAAAAAAAATACGCCAAAATATATCCTATCCACCATGCAAAACGACCAAGGTCAACAAGTCGATTATTATCACCCAAGAAAGTGGTATGTTTCCGAAATTCAACGTTCAACATTTGTAATCTTATATTCTTACAATACAATCCTTTACGAACCACATTATTAAAACTCATTGTTATCCCACAGCACTGCCACCAAGAGCTTGATCACTGCTAAGGATCACGCTTCAGTCCAAATTACAGTTGGTTTGGTTGATGAAAATGGTGTCTACACTGGCTCAAACACCACTATCTCATTGTGCGGTGAATTGAGAATGAAGGCAAAGTCTGATGGAGCTGTCAACAGACTCATGCTCGAACAAAAGGTCATGAAGGACATCCAATAAATTCTCTCCCACATAAATATTTAATTCTAAACACCCACTTGTTTTTTCTCTTCATTCACGAAAGCTGTCAATCTCATGCTTTAGCGAACGTTACTCTCGTTCCATATTTGAGCAAGAAGAGAACGACCTCTTTCAGATCTTAAAAATGTCGGCATCTTCTCTTCGTGATGATCAAATGGTTGGGCGGAATCCTTCATTTCATCCCAAATACCTGTCAGATCTTTGTAAGATAAATATTAGCAAAGACTATAACTTGCAAATTGTGAGCATGGTCATTTGCTTTCTCAGTATCATTAGTTCTGTGTTTGTGTTTCTTGGAGTGATTTTATATCGGAAAGAAACCAAGTCTCCCCGTTTGAATATTTTAGGGTGAGTGTGTTACGCTATATGAAATTCGACAACCATTATTCCAATACGTGATGAATGCTCCATCGGAAATTAATTGGAATTGAATTTTTAAGTGTGATTAATATATTCGGATTTATTTATTGCCTTTGCATAGAAATTGAATCAATAATAATAACGTTGTGTATGTACACATATTAGAATATATTATCATTGACTGACAATTATTTGTGGATTTCAAACAATAGTGGGAAATGACACATATATTTATCCTCTTTGTCAAATTCAAGCATTCGTTGCCAACAGTTCTTCGTTATGCTTAAACACCTTCTCGTTATGCCTGACATTCTTCCTATTTTATACCGTAATTGTGAGCAATCAGTACAAAAAGTTGAAGTCGCTCTACTATAGATTATTAATTGGAATTTTGGCTGTTTGTGTTTTGATTTCAATACCCTTTTTCGTTTTTATATTTCCCATACCTGTACCAGGAACAAATAGATCAGCTGAGCTCTATGGAAAGTCTTCAAAACTATGGTGCGATTTTGCAAACACTCCATCACACTTGATCAATACTTCAATACCGACTTTTGAGAAAAATTATCTAGGATATGACAACATACATTTGATCAACAACAATAGATTCTCTCTATTAAGGAACTCGAGTGCTGATCCTGTTGAATCTTATTGGGCTATTTTCTTTGAAATTGGATTTTTTTATGTTCCAAACACTTTGGTGTTAATAGTGTAAGTTTTCTTAATAGTTGGCATGAGATGCAAATCAAAATGATATCTCTCTACAAATATGTACCACAGTAACATTTTACTCTTTGTTGTGATTATTGTGAAAATTAGGAGGAATTCAAAAATGTTGCAAAATCATCAACTGACCATCGCCGTGAACTACTCTTCAATGAAGTCCTCAACATCAAATCTATCTCTAGAAAATGCATCAGACTCTTCCCCATCTCTTCCTATTCGAAATCCTATTCGTTCCAAAATGAATTCAATTAGTCCTTCTAGCAAAAAGAGCTTACCATCTGGATCAGTGGGAAATCTCGAATCTACATCGTTCAATGAAAATCAAGAAGATGAGAATCAAGAAATTTTAGATGAAAACAAACCTCTACTCGCAGTTAAACGAAATTTCTCAAGTAATATTTCACTGAATGCCCTTGGTAAAAAGCAAGGTTCCTCTACATCTCTGCAGGCAATAGCTCTTCAAAATAATTTGCAAAAAACAGGTAGTAATCAACCATCATCCGTTCAGAGTTCTCAAACCACTACATATAATTCATTTTCATTCTTGATGTTTGGAAATAATATCAAATATTCAACATTAACACAAAAGGATATTGATGAATATATAGAATTTTTGCATTCCCAGTCAAGAACAGCTCTTTATTATATTGCTGTACTAACAATTAATTGGATTGTTTGGATAGCATCAAGATTGTGTTGGGTAAGTTGAATTTCTAATTTGAATAGTATTAATACTTTGTCTATTGCTAGGAGTTTATTCAATGTCAAGAATCAGATAGTACTTCCATTGTAATATTTGTGCTCTTATCTATTGCAGAGCAGTGTAGCGGTCCAAGAATGAGTTCTATTTTATTGAGTATAATATTTGGAATTTCAGAAGATACTGTGTCTCCTTCAAATCTTGCTGACATGTTGCACGATGTTACGTGCTTGAGATATTTTACGACTTACTGTGCTGAAAGAGATAACTCAACACAATCCAGTGAGGTTGACAAGGAAGTGAATACGGCCGAGTATGATAACCTGGTGTTCTTTTGGTTTGATTTGTATCAACTGAAAGCTCTCATACTGCAAAACGACAAAGAGGGAGATGAAAGGAAAAAGCAAATATCTGAAGCAGTACTGGATATTTGTGACAAGTACTTTTCTGAAACATCCGTTCTCAAAATTAATTCTGACATTATCTCGAACAAAGACAAAAATCACATCAGAACATCAATTATGAGATACATCAAAGGAACCTCTCACAATGACAATGATGAGGACTACTCAGATAGTGACTATTCAGAGAATGGAGACGAAGACACCTCATCCACTATTTCTGAAGTTGTAGATAACAATTCTACCATTCCTAAGGAAGATTTAATTTTGCTTAATCTTTTGAAACATCCATTGAAATTGACTCTCCGTAAAATGAATGAATTATTGTTTGAGTTTAAGACAAGTCCTGCCTTTGACGAACTAATTAATGTATTGAGAATGAAAGCAGTTTCTCAGAGAAGAAGCTTGTTCAAAGATATTCTCTACAAGCTTGGACGATTGTTTCTGCAATGTTTAGGAATGTGTCAAATTTGGTGCCCAAGTTCTCACGATCCAAATTCCATCAGTGGATATGAATCTGTATCAGAAAATGAAAAGAATCACATGGACCATATGGACGTTCAAATTAAGGATTTATGGTCTTTAGATTATTCTAAAGATGTTTTTGAGTATATCGATCGTGTGAAGAGTCTAAAGTTAGATAATCGAACGTTGATGAAGTTCTAAAATTTCAAGTGAGTATTTACAGACTCTGAATTAAGGTACAACAATCACTATAAGCTCAGCAATAGCTACATCCTACAGTAGTGAGGAATTAACAATTCAGTAACTCGTCAAAGTATGGATGCTTTAGTGCGTCGTGAGCACTAATTCTATGAGCTGGGTTGATGGTAAGCATTCTTGCAAGCAAGTCCAAACCGAGAACATCTTTTTCGAATGGTGTTCGAAGAAATTTTGAGGCAAGCAAATTGCCTTTCCACTTGGGAAAGGTGTTTCGATAGTTAGGAAGATGAGCAATGCCACTATCCTCATTTGGCGTTCCTAAAAGTTGAAACACTTTAAATAAATGATCAATTTCTGAATCACTTGGAAACAGAGGGGTCAATGAAACGAGTTCCGCAAAGATACACCCAACTATGGTAGGAATCAAGATAAACGAACGACTCGCTAAAATTGACAAAATATTACTTACTTGACCACAGGTCCACTGCAGTTGAATATTTGTTTGCGCCAAGTAACAATTCAGGGCATCGATACCACAGTGTTATCACCTCTTTTGTTAACGTTCTCACTGGAATGTTAAATTCACGTGCTAATCCAAAGTCTGCTAATTTCACATTTCCTTCACTGTCAATTAGAATGTTTTGTGGCTTAATATCTTTAGGATTGTTAAGCATTAAACTTCAAAAAATTCACAATTACACACCTCTGTGAAGCACTCTATTCGAGTGGCAATAGGCCAAAGAATTCAACATTTGAAACATGTACTTTTTAACAGTAATGGATGGAAAATATTGTTTTTTCTCTCGTTGTTTGTCAATCACTGCTTTAAGATCCATATCCACAAACTCAAAAATCAAATTTAATTGATTCGAATCATGAACCACCTCATGCAATCTGAAGAGTGCAATGACAACAACATTTAACAATTACAGAGTTTGATCGTCTCAGTTAATAACTTACTTGACAACGTTAGGATGAGAAAGTTGTTTCAAAAGTGCAATTTCTCGCAATGTTGTCGAAGGAACTCCTTCTTCCTCTCTCTCAAGCCTAATCCTTTTGATGGCCACTAACTTTCCGGTGGTGATATCAATAGCTTTAAATACTACTCCGTATGTTCCTTCTCCAACCTTTTCAATGACTTTATATTTTGCTAATTTGTTGGAGAATGTGTATGTCAATGACGGTTGTTGTGGTTGTTGCGGTTGAATGATATCGGTGTTTGAAATTTGAATTGAAGTTCCGCTATTGCGTGTTACAAGATCCGTGGTACGAATAGAGCATGAATCCAATGTGAATTATGTCATATACATTCCATATTTCATACGGATGAGTTTCATATTCCAGTAATTTTCATCATCATCACCGATTTACTCACCCAACACTCGACTGCTCCATTTTTATTAATATTATTTGAAAGCGCGGGAGTTGAACAAGAAAAATCTAATTAGTTTATTGTTAGCACCATTGGTGCTGGTAAAACTATTAAACGCACGTTCATGCTGTTGACTTTGGCTTGAATTGTCTTGAAATTGGTTTCAGTGGAGCAAATAAATCTTGTTGAGGTTAGTCTATTCAATTCATTGATGTCATTAAGCTTGTATTCAACAATTAGGTATGAGTAGGTATCTTTTACCTTTTTCTTAATACTGAGTCTCTCTTTTTCGAATTTGATGGTTGTGTTCTTGCATAGTGTTTTAATAGCTTTGGTAATTGCGAGTTCACTTGTTGATTCAGGGAGTATACAATTTGCTATATGTGTTTCTTGCTTTCTTTTGATAATTTCAAATCCTTGTTCAATCAATTCAGTGTTGGGATTCTTGGAATCAAAGTTAATTTTAAGTTTGTACAAGGTTTCTTGTGGATTGAATTTTTTCCCATTTGTTCAATTCTACATTTCTTTTGATTGATTGAGTACTTAATGAGAGTTTGGATATTCGAAATTGATTTTTCTTTGGCTATTAATGTTGTTGGAGATGATGTAAAAATCATTGGTGAGGCGAAATATTTTGTTTGTGTTTTTTCTGTCATGGCTGGTGAATTAAGTTTCTTTAGTATTTGTTGTTGAGTTTCGGCATTTTGAATGACTAAATTGAGAGTGTTGGTCTTGCTGTCTGGGATGTACCAGTGTTGAATAACTGATTCAAATCTTTTTAGAATAAATTTAACAAAATGAGGATGAGATATTGCTGTCCGAGTAGATTGAGATTGAATTAGTTTTGTTTTTGGGTTGACCAGTTTGTTCAATTTTGAGTTGAGGAGTTTCTAAATGTTTAGTTTCCTGTTTTGGTTGTTGGGTTGGTTCAGGTTTTGGTTGAAGGTGAATTTTTTGCGCTTCATTTTGAGCTTGAGAAATTTTAATTGTTGATTGTTCAGGTTTTGGTTGAGTTGGTTTTGTAACTTCAATTAATTGCTGTACTGTTTGTCTGAGCGTCTTAATAGCATCTTGCAGTTCTTTGATTTGTTGTTGTTGTTGTTCTAAGTGGTTTATGAGTTCTTTGATGGTTTGTTGTTGAGTCATTTTTTTCGGGTTGAACAAGAAAAATGCCTAAAATCGAAGAAGAGCCAACGATCATCGTTGAAGAAGAACAAACAACAACAACATCCACAGTTTCCGAAAAATCAAATATCAATGCTTCAAGCTCTTCTTCCCCAATAACTACATCGGATTCAAAGAGTAGTACTACTTTGGTGATTCCAACGACCAAGAAATCAACATCGTATGAAGAAAAGGAATTTATGTATCCGGAATTGACTGAGGAGGAGTTGCCTAGTGATTTTTCTTCAATGTTATCTTTGTTTTGTGGAGTTCTTGGACTGATGTTGAAGATGAAATATGTTTCGTGGCTTGGAGCATTATTTTGCATCAGTGGCCTGTATAATTTGAAATATTCCGAGATGGATTTTAAGCAAACAGCCACAAGTGTCATGTTTTCAGTCATGGGTTTAATCATGAATTATTTTGGTCCAGCCGCTCATCAACCATAATTTTATAATATCATTTAACGAAAGTGAAAGCCAATTATTTAATATTAAATTATTTTCTAATATCATTCCATCATTGTGGCTTTATTTTAAAATTATTTGCAATTTTTAAAAAGAACGGTGGGCTATTTACTTGGCTCTACATATGAGTTGAATGAACTTTCGATTCATTGTTAATCCTTCACCTTTGTTTTCAACTACCTTATCCACGTATTCACAGGAAATTATCTGAAACTTATCTTCATTGAACAGAGATTTCAGAGAGTCAATGGAAAAGAAATAGACCAAAGTACCATCTCCACGAACAAAACATTCTTCACTTAATTGTTTAGTGTAGATATCTTTTTCGTTCAAGTATCGATAATGAGCTAAATCATTTACGGCATAATCACGCAAAAACAAAATTCCATTTTGAGCCAACAGTTCATATATCTTTGTATTGATGATCCTCTTCATATCGTCCAAAGAGCTGAGGGCACTGAGCACAAATATCATGCTTGAATAATTAATAGAGTGAGGTTTTGGAGGTAAGTGACGTCTTAAAAACTCGTCTTGAGGAATATTCTCTGCCATTTGTGATGTCAGGACCACTCCCTCTTCAGAAAGCAAATCATGAACAAATAAATGAACATTTGGTGCATCTCTGTACTGTTCTCTCAAAATTTTGATAGCATGTTCAGAGCAATCGAAACCATAAATATCCATTTGATTTGATGAATTAAACTTGTCATTCACCGAATGTACATTCGCCAAAATTCCATTAATTGTATTGCCACATCCACATCCAATTTCACAATAATTAAATCGGTCATTTCTTTTAATAGCTTGCGTTAATTGCACATATTCTCTTAACATCCATTGCCTGTTTTTGAAGAATTTGTCTTGATTAACTTTAAAGAATTTGTCCCAATATTTAGCAATATTATTCACATAGTGTTTTCGTGCATATTCACTCATTCCTCCTCGCTCTCTGCTTCCTTTCCGGTGCAACATTCCTTTGGTGTATGGAAAATAGTTTTCTGTGTCGGGTACAAATGGTAAATGTTCAATATCGAAGAGAACATCGTTATTCCAATTCGCTCGTCCACGTTCCTTGTTGCTGCTGCTGGAGAGAGAAGAGGGAATCATATTTTTTTGTTGAACTTGGGCCCACCGACCAATTCAGTTTTATTGGTTCCTCGTCTCCAAAGCACCAACGTAGACTATAACAACGTCATGATCCTCAAGGCGTGCCATGAACACCACGACACACTTTGTTGTGCAAGGCTTTATTTTGTGTGATGGATAATAATGCAAAAAGAGTTTTGAGAGTTTTTTGTAACAACAACAAAAATATTTCTAAAATAGTCCCAAAAAAATTACAGCGACACAAACAAAAAAAATGGCAGGCGGAGCAAAGATGCATTTTCACGGTCTCTCAAGAGACTTGTTGACCAAGTGGAAGAAACCAATTATTATTGGACTTGCAGCTGAAATCACTTTGATTTGGGGTATTTATGAAGCCTATTACTTCAACTATCACATGAACAAGAACAAGTATGCCAGCGTATGTATTTTTAACGTTATTTTAAAAATTTTTATAATTTTGTGATGATGCCAATGTGTGTGATGATTCAAATACAAAACAATAGTACTTGGAAAATAGACACAGAGGTTTGAAGCCACCATATGAAATTGATTACAACACTTCTTCCGGATCAGTCTACAAGGTTGATTGGAAGAGTTTCAGAGAAGATGTTCAATAAATTCCTTCACCACAAATAAACAGGGTTACCCCCACACAATCTCTAGGGTTGTTTTGTACATTAAACGCGTTTACTGGTCTGTACTGTCATTGTTGAGTGTTACCCATTTTCCTTTCCTGTATCGAGCCGAACCAGAAGGGAAACAGTGTCCTCAATAAATGTCCAAATACAAGTCCAGCGCAAAACCTTGATTGTTCCATTCATGTGTGAATCTTGAGTAAGGACACCTCTTTCTTCGCGAAATGGTGAGAGTCATTTTCGAAAACGAATACCTTCTTGCTTGAGGAACAAACCAGTTGCACATGTTCAACTCCAGGAATGACTTTCATTTCCAATAAATTCCAAGTTCAACTTGCGCACAGCAATCAAAAAAAAGCAACAAACTCTTGTCACGACGATCTTTTTCAATGAGTTCATCCAATCACAACAACTCATCATCAACAGAGGATCAAACTTCTTCGCCCCCCTTCTATGATATTTCCGATGAACAAATCCAACAATGTGTTCGTAAAGCCATTATGAAAGTTCTTCCTCAACTCATTGAAGATGAGGACATTCTCGATCATGTCGTGAACGAATTGATCAATGACAATGTCAATATGCTTTCACAAAGCGGTGCTATTGACTTTGATGATGTCGCCGCCAGTGCCTACGATAACATTAAATCTTCGGCTACAAAATTATCGTTTGCTGCTCTTTCCAACATCAAAGGTGAAAAAAAGCAACAAAGTCAAACACTTATCATTAATATTCTCTCAGAGCATTTAATTAATTATGATTTGAGCGACGATGATGAAGATGAAATTTCTCAAATATGTCATGAAATTCAAGAACATTTAAGAAACATAAGACTAGGTCAATACGCAGATTACGGTGTGAATATTGGTGATGTTGATGACGATGATGGTGCCTATGTAGAAGATGGTTGCTGTATGATGTGTGAGAGAGAAATGAAACTCACTCGTCATCATCTCATTCCTCGAACGTGTCACAAAAAGTATCTCAAACGAGGTCAATATACCAAAGAGCACTTGAATAAGTGTATTCTAATTTGTAGAGTATGTCACGATGCTGTTCATTCATTCATTTCTCTGGATGACATGGCTGAACATTATCATACACTTGAAACCATCCAAAGTCATCCAAAGGTTCAAAGATGGATTCCCTATGTAGCCAAACAACGAACAGGAAAGAAATTTAGATTCTAATTTGTATGAGTTGAGTAATAATAATTAAAGGATACTATGCATGCAGAATTGAGTAAAATTAAAGGTAAGAAATAACATTTTGGTTGCCATCTGACCTCTTTGCCCAAGGGCATTGCAAAAGAATTCAGAAATCAGGGTGCTGAGATACTTCAACCTTCCTGCGGGGTAAAGATAGAGCACTCCCAGTATCGAGGATATATACGAGCTTTGATCGAAGGTTGGGAGAGTAATGATTGAACGCTCAGGGGAACCTGAACAAACTAACAGTGTCCCAATATACACAATAGTTCGGAGTGTTTGTAGACGAACCAAACCGAAGGTTTCTCAAGGTTCCACTTGTCAATGGGGTTTCATTTGTCTTTTATGACTTTTATTGGAACCGTTAGTTGTGTCTGGACGAGGGATTTGCGTGCCTTAGTATAACTCCGTAAGAACTTAATTATCAATATAACCTCACTGTGTGACGAAAGTCCTTGATCGTCTGTATACAGACAATACTCGTGGACCAGTAACTGGGCTGGACATGGTAACGATCACCAAGTGCTTCAATTTGTAACTTGGTCATCTCAAAAGCAAGCCTAATAACAATCCACCGTTAACAACCCATCCTTGTTGTATTCTCGAGGAATACAAAACTGGTTCAAGTCACTCGGTGAGGAGGCTTCTTATAATCTCTTCTCCCTTATTAAAAAAATGTTTCAACAATTACCAAACGAGATCATTTTCGAGATTTTCAACTTTTTACCATGCCGATTCTTATTTGATTACCGAATGATGGATGTATGGCATCGGGTATTATATTCCTCTCCGTTACTTCCCTTCTCAAGAAATGACACCAAGAATGATCACTCTCTTGATTATTCATTATTTAAGAACATTCTTATCGAGAGATTAAATCGGAAAGAATTCCTTTGGAGATATTACCAAGTATCGCACCTACAAATGGTTTTTGTACTCTTTGAAGTTTGTTTGAATCATTTTGGGAGATGGATCCGACATTTCAATGGTTTTTATCATTTATTGGGAATTCCTCAAGAAATGTTGCATGTGATGGAAGATCAACTTCAGATTTCAACCTTGATGACAACACGAGCGAGTGTAAGAGCTATTGAAGAAATTGAAAGAAATTTCAATGCAAATGAGGGATGGAGTTATCAAGAGCTCAGTTTTCTTTTTGAATTTATTTCTCGAAATAATTATTTATTATTGATGGATAAGGCGGAGAAAACTCTTCCTTCTTATACTAGTGATGAAGATGGATATGAAAAAAGACCCAATATCGAGATTAGTTGGGCCATTGTGAATGATGTGACTCATTTCACTCATCTCGAAAGTTTTATTTTTCAGTCATTGTTGATGGATGAAGGATGTCAATTGTTGAATCATGTGTGGAATTCCATTCAACCTTGTTCAACAAGTTCATGTATTCGATTGAGAGGTCAACTCATTTGGAGGAATGGAAAATATAGTCTCAATTTGTATCATCCTCACTTTTGTTCAAAACTTTTATCGAATAAGACAACAGAGCTTGAATCAGAACTTTTTGAACAAATGTTGGGATTATTGAGAGATAAATCGTGTTTCAACGTTGCGGTTAAAGAATTGCTCTTACAACGTTATTGGTTTCCAGCAATGGATGGTGGATCCATTTGGTGTGAAACTAAAAATCAGCGTGCTTGGAGTTCCATTGAGAATTATCTTGGCATTACTATTGAGGAACGATACCATCCCTTTGTGAAAGAATGTCTTTCTACAATTTTATGTACCACAAGCAATTTAGATGCTCCACAGCTGTCCATTCACAAATATGAAATGACAATCTTCCCACAATCTCGAAAAGTGAAATTTCGAATCATTCCAAAAAAAATTCCACCTGTGGTTGTTTCATTATTCTTCAAGTTGCTTTTATATGGAGTTCTTGATTTTCATACTGGAATATTCACTTGGACGTTCACAAGGTGGTGTTGGAATTCTTCATCATTATCGTTTGGGATCAAAGTCCCGATAATTATTTTAGGAGCTTTCTTCGAGACTAGTATCACTGGTTTGTGTGCTTCGTTTTTAAGTCATGCTCTTTTGTGTGCTGCTGTGTCAACGATTTTCTCCACTTTGGAATACGAGGCAGATGTGAAATTTTCAGGATCACTGAGTCATGAAGAGAACAACAACAATGATGATGACAAATGAATTCACACTGTGATAAATTCCAAAATAAAATCACAGTGTGAATTCCTGTGTGATTTTATTTTGGAATGAACATTTATGCATTCTCTTAACAACATGTTCCATCAATGAAATTCTTAAACATGTAAAAGGCACTATCAGGCTTAACAAGAGGCACCATGTGACCTATTATTTGAGTTGTGATTGAAACATTAGTGACATGGTCATTTAGTTTCGAAAACCTTTTCAATGATTCACTTACCTGCTCCACGAACAGTTATAAAGGTCAACCCCTTTCCACTCTTTTCAAATTTACGAATATATCCTCCAACAACAGTTCCTAAGGCTGAATCAAATTCCCAACTATAAAAGATGTCATCATTTGTTGATTTTTATCAAGCCATCAACGACATGGATGAATACTTACGTTCTCCAAGATGAAGTTTCTTGTAATTGCAACTTGTCAATGGCAGCTTGTGTTCCAAGACCATTAACAACCATGTCAGTATCTCCCGAGTAGACAAGAATACGAATATGAGGCAATAACTTGGCATAGAAAGGTAAAATAGTGGAATACACCTGAGTGTAGTTAATAATTCCTGTACAAATATTCCATCCATTTGGATCGGCAGTCTTTCTTCTCACTCCTAATGCTTGTTGGACGTCCAATCTACGGAAATACTTTGCAATGGATTGATTTGGAACGCAAGGAGCATCAGTTTCGAAACGAGGTGCAAAGTTTCTTTCATTGGCAACTCTCTTACTCCATCCACCATGTTTATACATTTGGAAGAGTGGATGAATTTTGACAGGTTGTTGAGTCTTTGGATCCAACACTTGGAATGTCATTTCTTGTGTTGTTTTGAGTTTTTGTTGCAAGTTGATTCCTAACCATGGACATGAATCATACTAGAAACATGATGAGAGTTATTGTGAAAATCCATTCATTGTGAAAAATTGAAATGAACAATCCATAAGAAAAATGAACATGATCCATGTTCAAAAAGATGTGTGAATAATATCATGACTTACAATATAATAGGGATTAATATTTCCCATGGCATTACTACTATCTGTCAAAAATTTTTGACAAGCTGGCAAATTCTGATTCGCATAAAAATCACCTTGACATGCCTTATATCCCTCTTCATAATACTTGATAGAAATCAAACTGTGATATTTCATCATTGGTGGAATACTATTACTATCCGCTTCAGCATCAGTCACACCATTACCAACTAAAATACCCACTAAATTCACATAGGGTTGTTGTCCCTTTCCATTTCCTTCAACAATATTGTAAGCCGTTGTTGGAACATAAACTCCACCATACGATTCACCTGCCAAATAGGTTTCTCTTCCAATAAATTGAGGAAATCGAGTCAAGAAATCTCTCAATGCATTATTCATATCAGAAGCAGCTTGTACATCATTGAGATTTTGATAATCATCGGTCGAATTGGAATATGAAAATCCAACACCCACTGGTTGTTCAATATAGAGAATATTAGAAACACGATTCCAAGAATAGGGATTTCTTGTAATGGTTGCACCATCTGCATTGACAAGGAATAAACCATGTTCACTGGCTTCACCGCCCAAACTACTGCATCCAGGTCCACCATTGGTCTTTGAAAGAGTTTCAAAGATGATAACAACAATATTATTGAAAGAGTTTCAATTGAAATTTCAATCAACAACAACAGCAATAAAAAGACCAAATTCATAGGATGAATCATGAACAACAATTTGTGTTGAGCATGGTTCATTATTTTGAAATCGATCATTTTTCACAATTTTCACATCGAATATTATTACTTACCCACATGACAAGTGGATCCTGAGATGGATTTCTCATCGATTCAAAAAACCAATAAAACAAGTATCGACCTCGAGTGGCATTTGCCAACAAATATCCCGTGTAGGATTTCACTCCGATGTTTCCACTCAAACCAGGAAGTTGAGTCACTAAATGATCTTGAGCAGTTTGTCCATTCACGTATCTCATCATCATGATGAAGGAAACCAACCAGAGAGAGACAAAGACAGTTTCTCGTAATTTCATTTTTTTTTGAGGATCATGAGACTTGTGGAGTCAGTGACAGGTTTTAACTCCTTAAAATTTCGAGTGTGCGGAGTCAGGAGTTGGGACAGGAGTTTATGTTGTGAGCCATTATTGGTTGGTCATGCAATTTCACAATGAATGATGAACCCAAAAGGATGATAAAATAGCAACGAAAATGTATAGCTGGTTTGACTATTTGATTCGACCCTAGTTCTTTATATGCAAATTTTTACAAAACCATATTTTGGCGATTATTTTTTATTGAATTGTTGTTTTCGCTGGAAAAGAACTTTCG